ATAGATAGATAGATAGATAGATAGATAGATAGATAGATAGATAGATAGATAGATAGATGGTAGATAGGTAGACAGACAGACAGACAGACAGACAGACAGAGAGACACATAGACACACAGAAAGATAGAGGATAAGTGATAGATCACAGGTAGGTAGGTAGGCAGAAAGAGAAAGAGAGATGATAGACAGAAAGATAGATAAAACAAGATTGGCCACCTCAACATCAGGGTAAATGTATTATTACTGTACTTGTAAATATATAATTATAACAAAATAAATTCAATATTGTTGATATATAAGCATGCTGTTCTTTACAAAGAACAAAACATTGCCTTGAGAAATCAACAACCTTTTTTTTCCAAGACAAAGAGAGAAAAAATGCAACCAAGGTTACACAAAGAATAGTTTTTCCAATTTGGATGCACTTAAACTGAACTGAATGATTAGTGCAAAAAGCTTCAGGGGCAGGAACAAAGAGGCTGTAAAAGTTTAATTATAATACAACTGTCAAGGGGCTCTTTTTTTCCCCTATATCTGACATCTGTGGAATGAGTTGTCCAAAACTCTAAGAAGTTGCATAAAATAACAGATTTGTGTTGTTTGTTTTAAAATCAGCGTCCAATTTATTGTAATTTGTTCTGAAATTTTCCAGGAATTCAGCACTTGTATCAGTTTAGCCCTATTAAAAGTACCTTCACTTGGCCAGGATTAATACATACATACATACTACCCATGTGCATGCATGCATACATACATGCATACGTACATACTTACTATCCATGTACCTTTTCCAAATAAACAATATTGTATAGCCAAAGAGATTAAAGGCACGAGATAAGGGAAAGGGAAAGAAATACTGTATAAATAAAAGTATTTGACATCCACTCCATTTACTATATCATACTATATGTGGGGCATGGTGGCTTAGTGGTTAAAGACACTGACAGGTCAGGTTCGAGATCTGAGCACCATGAAAAGGGGTCTGTTACTTGCTCCTGTTACTTGCTCCAGCTTCTGCCCACCTAGCAGTTCGAAAGCATGCAAATGCAAGTAGATAAATAGGTACCACTTCAGTGGGAAGGCAACTGAATTCCATGAGCCTTTGGCATATAGTCATGCTGGTCACATGACCATGAAAATGTCTTTGGACAATTCTGGCTCCCTCAGTCAAGAAATGGAGATAAGTACTACTGTCCCTAGATTCGGACATGACTAGTCAGGTGAAACTTTTACCTCTACCTTACTATGTAGTATACAAAGCCATGCTGCTAGCAAGATGGGCAGTCTCTAAATTTGATAATTAAATGCAAAATAAATTCCCTGTAGCTTTCTATCCTTGTAAACCCATCCTTTTTTACCCATGTCCACATATGGCTTCATACTTTCTCTTTGGCTGTTAAATTTCTCACCAATATACTTTTCATTTTATTTTATTGACACTTCCCTTTCCTGATTTTTCCCACCAGCCTTCCTCTTCCTCTCAACCCATTCACTTTCCTGTCATAATATTGTTTTGCAATTCGATCCTCACTCTTTCTCTAATTGGCCAATATAATCTCCTCAGTTATGTTG